GCCTTTACAAATCCTCTCTTCCACCAATCCCTGATGCGGCAGAGAATCGTAGTCCTTTCACACTCTCTAAGTGTTGGCAAAAAACTGTCATCTATTCACACTCTCCAAGTGTTGGCCGAGAATCATCATTCTTTCACACCCTCTAAGTATCGGCAGAGTACTATCTTCCTCTTACACCCTCCAAGTGTCGGCAGAGTACCATTATTCTTTTCACAACCTCCAAGTGTCGGTAGAGTACCGTCATGCTTTCACACCCTCTAAGTGTCGGTAGAGTACCGTCATCCTTTCACACCCTCCAAGTGTCAATAGAGTATTGGATCTTCTTTAAAGATCTTCTCATGTGCAACTAGAAAGAAGAAAAGAAGAGTGATCACCAAAAACACAAAGAGATCCTTACCTTTGAGTAATCTTCTGAACCCTTCACACTCCACTTGCAAGAAATCTCTCTGAAACACTCTCCCACACTCTCCCATTCACTTGCCCTTAAAAAATCATGAAGAACAATACTTTTTACATCATGTTTAACGGACCTTTTATATGAAAGACATGAAAAACTTTCCAGTAAATTAAAATTTTTTATGTTGAGCATGTATGATGTACAGTACGATAGTATGTTCGTATGTATAAACAATTCAAAAACTATTGCATACGAACCTTTTGTTAATCAGTACAAAAAGACTTCATACATGATGATCATCCAGTATGAATCCAATTTGTACTGTACAAATAGTTAGAAAATTTTTCATCTTCATCGTGATGAACAGGGACCCCACATTTTTTGTACTCTCGATGGCATACGTAGATGATGTCATCATATAGTACGACCAGTTTAAAAAATTTTAGAGTTCATCTGGATGAAAAGGGACCCATCCAATTCGTACTCTGGATAGCATACGTATGATGACAACATCATATTGTACGATACATTCATAAAAATTTCAAGTTCGTCTGGACGAAAAGGGACCCATCCAATTCATAATCTGGACGACATACATATGATGATGAAATCATACAGTATGAATAATTCAAAAATACTTTAAATTCATCAGCATGAAAAGGGAACTCACATTTTTATACTCTAGACAACATACGTACGAAGAAAACTTCATACAGTATGATCCGCACTCAAAAAAAATTTCTACCTGCTGTTCGTTTGTCTACTCGAAGGGAAAAAAATTGTTGAACATATCGTCCCATATAAAATGAGTTCATACAGTATGAACAATTTTAAAAATCACAATTTTAAACACTTCCCCACTCTGTGTGTGCATAGTTAATCAATTACAATCACACTCTCTCAGACTCATTAAAATTAAAAATACAGACTTCATTTATAATAAATCCTAATTTGATCTGATTTAAAGTCTTTAATAATCTGGAGTATGATTTCCCTAAAATATTAGTAAACACAAATAACAAAATAATAATATTTGGAATTCACCAAAAACATATATGTTACATGAATAACAACAATTGAAAAACTAAGTTGCAACTAACTCAACAATCTCCCCCTTTTTAATGATGGCAAAATAATTATTATTTGAGTTAACATGTATACCCTAAATTTTTCCTTAGGTCCCCCTAAATGTATAAATAAGTGAATACAGGGAAATTCCATGAAGATCACACATAATTTTTTTTTTCTAATTTTTAAACACAAACACAAGAAACACAAAAACAACAAAATACAAAATAATAATACTACCTCTTTTGACAACAATAAAAAGGGAATAAAAATAATGAAATGAAAGATGTCAAATCAAAAATCATTATAATTGATCTTGAAAGAAATTGAAATATAATTGCAATAATAAAGTTAATTACATAAGATGAAAAGAAAAATTCAAAAAATTTAAATTAAAGAACAACTAGATAAATTTTTTTTATCAAAGTCATGAAGCGTTTTAGACAATTAGATATTGAGGATCATTGTAAAAGTGAGGAAATGAATATTAGTGATTTTCAATTTTCAGTATAATACATTAATAATTAGATTGATTTGAATTAAAGATTAAACTATAGAGGAAAGAACAAATTCAATTGGAGACATTGCGCATCTTTTCAAATATTTGTGGCATACTGTGCATCTTTTTTTATTTTGGCTAATTTTGTGCCTATTTTTATTTTACGAACCATTGTGCATTCTTTTGATTTTTGTACATACTATACATTTCTTTTTAATATCCCTCTTTTTTTATTTGATCTTTCTAAAATCAATAATCTAATAAATCAAATTTCTCTAATTATAAAAACAATTACACTGAAAAAGAAATATAAAAAATAATAAGACATCAAAATTGTAATAATAATATTTAAATTGTATCATTTAAGTTAAAATTTAACTTAAATTTTTAAAAAATTAGATTCCATTATGAAATTAATTTTATAGTGCAAGTTAATTTAAAACACTTTT